GCTCATTAAAACTGTATTGTGAGACCATGTAGAATCTAACTGTGCAACAAAGCTGACTACATTATTTTTGCAGTCTAATTTAGCTGGGGGGAAAATGTATTAGTAAGCGTGCTTATTATTATTGGTAAAGACTATTAAAAATAATCATATGCAGTGTTCAAGCGCATTTAATTTGGGTGATAATGTTGCATTAATTTCCTGTTGTTCTAGGTGGGATGGTGATGGTCCGTGAGAGGTGGATAAAGGTTAAGCAAGGGGTGAAAATGACATTTTAAAAAAATAAACATTAGCAAGAGGCTTTAGTGTAGGATTGTATGGGAGGTAACCAGATTGGCAGAACAGCATGAACTGATGAGGAGCAACATGAACAAATGAGGGAAGGAGAGAAGAAAAGGGAAAAAAGTGCAATGCAGGAGTTTCGTCTTGCCACCCTCACTAAAGGATATTAGTCTGTCTCATAAAGATTGGGTCAGAGGATATTTTCATTCTGTTTTGAGTGCCAATTTGGGTATAAATTTTGCAGCAGATGCAGTCCCGGTCTTTACCATTAGTTCTGTTACGTAAATGGCAAGTGCTGGGGTGCTGGGAGCCTGCTGGGGTGCTGGGACGCTCTTGTGCTCAGACTGCAGAGCAGCTCGTGGAGCGGAGCCAGGCGGGACGCGGGAGCCAAGTAACTACTACTGGGATGTTGTCATATAGAAGAAAAAATGACATGTATGATCATATAAGAAAGAAGAGAGGGCAAATTTAAAACAAAAAATCACGCAGGCTGCACATGAGTCTAGAAAGCCAGCCAAAGTCTACAACTTTGTGCTTGTTGTTCAGCAACACTGATACTGTCCAAACCAGTATGAGAGGCTGCAATCTTGGCTCACCTGAAACAGCTGCTTGTTGCTGTGATCTGATTGGCATATTAATAATGTGGCCCCTTGTCCTCTGAAAACCACATCGTTCTCTTAAAATACAGGTGAAAAATTTTGTTGTATCTTTGAGGAACAAAGAAAACTGACTTTGATAGTGTAACAAATATTTATCGTCATGAATATCTTATTCTAGATGCTTCTTTGCCAGCTGAGTAGTGTTTATTTTGATTTCAGTTTGCTATATAAAACCAAAAAAACCCACTATTCTCAAACAGTACTAAGTTTTTTTACTACTTTTTGGAGAAGAATTATGTTTTAAAGCTTCTTTATGTGTGGGAAGAAGGTACAAAGACTTTAAAGATGCAACTGTTAAGATGAGTATGTCCTCAATAACCTCTGTATCCAAATCTAGACATGTTCTAGACTCTGTTGTTGTTGATCAGTCTTGAACAAATTCCAGCTTGTGAAACGCCCAAAAAGACAGTCAGATGATACAGCTTTAGAAGGGCATTTTGTTTTCCTGGAGTTAGATGTCCTTAAAGATTTGTAGGAAAGGCTTATCCATGGAGTGATTCCCATGTCATGGAATGATTCATAGTTAAGCAGGTTATTAAATGCATGTAGAGATTGGTAAGAACTTTCAATACTTGTTCACTGGAGCAGTCTGAGTCTTCAGCCTTCGCTCTTCAAGCCTTCAGCAGGTCGCTAGGATGTGGTGTCGCTGCTGAGATGTGGCCTTGCATTTGATCCAGCTTCCACTTGCAGTTTATACTTGAAGAGGTGACCGAGTACCCCCAGAAACGCGTCAATTCCGTTAATTCTGCACGGTGCTCACTCAGCGCGCTGTTACAGAAAGTCTGACGCTACAGTGAGTGTTTCTGAGTTTAGGGGGTTAAGCCCTGGCCCACAGCAACTGTTTTGGTGGTGATACCTTACCATGGGTTATTATGCCTTCCCTAGATCCGCATGTCCCAGCTGCGATTGCCTCTCTCATCAGCACATATCAACTAAGAACAGGTTTGTCTGTTATCATGCTTTTTAAAATAAGCCAAAGGATAGCTGTCAATATTTATATTTTCTACTCTATATTATCTAAGAGGGAAGGGATGATTCACTCCCTAGCCTGATTCAGTAAGAGGAGCACATCTATCCAGTGACATTAGGTACCTTTCCTAGATCCTCAAATTAGGAGCTATATTCTTTAAAGTACCTCTTTGTACGATGTTTGAGAATAGGGATGCTTTCACTGTCCAGATTTCTAATGTCTTATTTTTCGTGTTCTTCTCTGAAGAAAATTGTAATTCATCTGCTTTTCATCAACTTCACTTTTTTCGCCGAATACACCCAAGAAAAGTTATGAACCATGCAGGTTTTGTTTCAAAACTGTTTTGGTTTTGAATTTAGAGCTGCTTTTTAAAAGGAATGGAAAGTGCTGTAAGCTTGGCCTTCGTAGAAGTCTGGTAATGCATGTTTTTCTTGTTTCCCAAGGTAGGCCTGTAGAAGTCAAAACCCCTTTTTAACACTGTTTAGAAAACATAATGAACATGATACAACTTCCTAACTGTTACAAAAAGATGCATGTGTAATAACAAGTGGTGGTAGAATTACTTATTTGCTTAAACATGTGTTCATGCAATTAAGCAAGTCTTGACTACAGTCTGAGGGGTGATCATTTAAAAAAATAAATGGGAATGTTGGCAATCATTCAAACCTATTCAATTACAGAATTGGCTGCATGGCTTATATTGAAATAGATTAAACCAAATAACTGAATGAAAAGGCATTATTTCAGTCCCACTGTTGGAAATGTAATTACTGTGTATTTTTAATCTAGTCTATAAAAACAGTAGCCTGAATTCGTTCATTTTCACTAAATTTTTAAATCATGAACTAAGTGTAAGCCCTTGCTAACTTCCTGATGAGGAAAGTACCTTATGAACATAACTGACTTGATAAATCTGAATACATGATAAGATGCTGTCAAACAAGCAAAAAATGCACGGTGACTATATACCTAAAATAATGAAGTAGCCTGAACAACTGAAAGTCATAATTTAAGAAGTAAATTCAAATAATACTTTAAAAAATACTTTAAATGATGAGCAATGTTTAATAAAACAGTAAAAGTATTAAGAAACGAAGGTCAAACCTTGTAGTCCAAACCTTACTTCAGTAAACTTCACCAGATCCTTCAAACAGAATTAGATTTTTCTTTTTGCTTGAAATGTTAGTAAAGGTTCTTTGGAAAAGTGCTGGAAAATGTGAGCTCACTAATAAAAGGGAAAGGCAACCTGGTAGCAGAGGCCAAGGTACCATCTTTGCCTCAGTTTTTGGTGGGAGTTCTGCCCTTAGCAATACCAGGTTCCTGAAACCAGTTGAGGATGTCCAGGGCGAGGTGGGCTCACCTCAGTAGGGAATGCCTAAACACACTGGACACACACAAGTCTGTATGTACCCATGCAAGCTGTGTGAGCTGGCCAGTGTTACCCCTCGGTAATGGGAAATGTCACAGATAGGCCAGAGATTCCCAAGGTCTGAAAGAGAGGAAATGTCAACCCCACTGCCCACACTGAACTATCAAAAAGAGCAAGAAGGAGAATTTGAGTCTGTCAGCCTCACGTTGAGGCTGGAATATGATGGAGCCTGGGAATGTGATGAAGCTACCAAGGCATTTCCACACACAGAAGGGCAAGAAGGTGACTAAAAGTAGTTAACAAGAGTATATGAAGGGGAGACTATGTGTGGCTGACTTGGATAGCTTTCTGTGAGGAGTTAAAGGACTTGCTGGATGAGAGGAGAGCAGTGGATGTTGTTTGCCTTGCCATAAATAAGATTTTTGAAGCTCTCCCATAACTTCATTGACAAATTGAAGTACAGACTAGACAAGTTGCCTGTGTTGTGAACTGAAGGCTGGATGAACTGCCAAGCTGGGATGGCTGTAACCTGTGGCATGAAGTCCAGCTGGAGGCCACTCACTCATGGTGTCCTCCCAGGTGGATACTGGGCCAGTACTGTTTGATATCTTCATTAATGACCTAGATGATGGGACAGTGCCCACCTTCAGCATGTTTGCGAGTGATGGAAAACTGGAAGTAGTGATTTGTAGACCAGATATGAACAAACTGGAGAAACGGGTTGATAGAAGCTGTAAGAAATTCAGTGAAGGGAACTACGAAGTCCTGCACCTGAGGAGGAGTAACGCCATGGAAGTTATTCCTGCATGCAGAAATGAAGTGGGACAAGTGGCTGGAAAGCAGCTCAGCAAAGAAGGACCTGGTGGTCCTGGTGGACTCTAGTAATGCGCTCTTGCAGCCAAAAGGGATGACATCCTTCTGAGCTGCATGAAGCAGTGTTGTCCTTAGGCTGAAGGAGGTGATCCTTCCCCTATGCTCAGAACTGCTGAGGCCACACCAGGAGTGATGTGTCAGTAGCCCCAGTGCGAGAGAGAGACAGATGTACTGGAATGAGTCCAGTGAAAGGCCACAAAGATGGTGATGGGACTGGAACATCTGGTGTACGAGGAGAGGCTGTGAGTGCTGAGCCTGTTCAGCCTGCAGAAAAGCCTGAGAGGGGATCTTACAAATGTGCCTACGCATCTGAAGGGAGGGTGTAAAGATGATGGGTCAGACTCTTCTCAGTGGTGCCCAGGAAATGGACAAGAGGCAATAGGCACAAGGTGAAGTTCAAGAAATTGCACTTCTTTTTTTATAGTGAAAGTGTCCAAACACTGGAACAGGCTGCCTAGAGAGGCTGTGGAGTCTCCATCCTTGAAGATGCACAAGACCCAAGTGAACACAGCCCTGACCAACCTGGTCTGTGTGACCCTGCTTTTTGAGGAGGGCATTTGGACTAGTCGATCTCTAGAGGTCCCCTCAACATCAGCTATTCTGTGATTTGATGTCCTGTTGAACTTCTATTATTATTATTTTCAGTTTTGGAGCATATGGCAACATACTGATCATTTTACACAAAAGTCGGTGGATCAGTTTCAGATCTGATGAGCAAGTTTATGTATGATTGCTTCTTATAGAGTGCTAAAGAAAGCAGTGTTTCTGCTTTAAATTATGCAATATTTTAAATCAGTAGCTAATATAATAATAGAACAAATATACAAAGCACTCTAACCCTGTCTTTCAGTCATGGCCTGTATATGAAGAAGTATATAACAAAATGCTTCACCTTGCTGCATTCCTAGAGCTGCCTCGTTTTCCAGATATAACAGACAGCTGCTTTCTTCATCCAGACATGTTGTGCATGAAGTACTTGATGGAAGCTAACTTACCTGGTAAGTATTTTCTCAAATCTGTACAGATAATATATTTATTTGGCATGCTAACTCTAGTGAAATTACTTGAATTATTGTTTTAGAATTTCCTATTCTTTTCGTTCTGAATTATACACATTTAACTTTGAAAGATATTTTCTTTAAAACATGCCTACATCATACACAGTACTATTTTTGAGAGGCTTTGGAATACATATTTTATAAACTGAACTTTAATTAAATGGTATTCCTGAGTGTCACTGTTTTAGAGTTCTCCTTAATCCACACCTTTTAACAACTGGTTTGCATTCCAGCTTTGACTGCTTCGTTCTTTTATCGCTTAACATATATGTTTTGGCAAACATATATGTTTCTAAGACAGTGTTTTAAAGGACTACTTTGTGAATCCTAATTTTCTGCACAGACAATAAATTTGAGTGATTTGTGTGCATGTGTGTTATTTTCCCCTTTCTATTAAAAACAAGTCTGAGGAATTAAAAGAAACCAGCTCATTGTGAGATCTATATATATAAACAGAAGGGAAAAGTAACTATTAATTGAGTTACTAGCATTAATTTTGCTATTAGCAAGTTGCAAAGCAAAATACTCCGAAAAAATCCAAAAAGAATATTTTGTGCTTTATATTTTCTTTGCAATTAAATGTTTTTATCATGTGGAAACATTTTATTTTCTATTTGAAAAATGGACTACTGTTGTTATATAGCAACTCTTAAAAATAAATTAAGTAATGAATTGGCACTGCCTCTTAGGATGTTAAATAATAACAGAGAGTTCATTTAAAGCATCTGCAGTAAAATGAAGTATACTGACAATATTTGTAAAAATGTGTATTATATATTTTGGAAGTGCTCTCATGGTTGTCAGTTTTTGTTTAACCTCATATAAATGAAAGGATTAAAAAGTAGTTCGTACTGAACTCTCTGTAAGGAGCGAGAGAATACAAAGTAGAGATGGATTAGCGTTGTACTTAGTCATACATTGCTAACCTTTGTGGAATCTGATGGTGATGTAACGACTCTTGTATTTCTTGCTAAACAGGATAGGTGAGAAATTTGGGGGATTTGTATGCGTGAAAAATAAGCATAAAGTAATGAGAGACTGTATAGATATCATACTGCTTCTTTTGGAGCTGTAGTTGTTTCTTTTTTGTTGTTTTTTAATATATACCATGCTAGCAAAGTTGTTAGCCTTTACAATGCAATGCTAATTTTAATCTAAATTAGGAATGTCTGTACTTGAGCCTGCTGTTTTGTTGGGGTAACTGCCGAGTGTCGTCTGCTGCTGCGCTGCAGCCTAGTGCCGTCCTTGCCTGTGTGCTGGGTCTCCTTGCGTGCAGGAAAAGGGTTGTGAAACGGTAGAGGATCTTCTTTTTTTTTTTTTAAGGTTGGAGTTTAAATGTATTCGTGTAGATTTAAGATATGATTTCCTGAAACAGTGTTCAGGGTGATCTAATAACATAATTAAAATAACTTCCAAACACTATTAAAAGTGTGCCTTTTTTTCCCTCGTGCATATATAATAGGTCACAACTGTTTCTTTATATAAATACAGTGAAGATTGCTTAATATTTATAAAAATTAGTAATAAAAATGCTTTTCAGCTAGGAAAAAAATGTTGTCTGATGGTCCCAAAACTTATGAGCATTTTTTTCCTCAAATCACTAACATGTTTACATTGAAAAAGTGCTTTTAGCTTGTCTCAACATGCTCATTTTGTATCTTTATTTATAACAATCAGATGAATTGCATAATTGGACTTGTCGAGTGGTGAAAAAGATCCATATAGGAGAAGTGGATTTCCTGACTTTTGTGCCTGGAAATAAGTCTACAAGGAAAGTGAAATATGATGTTCTTGCTGCAGCAGTTATTGTAGTGGTGCTCAAATTACTGTTTTTACTAGATGATAACTATGAATGGTAAGTGTGCAGGCAAATATGTATCAAAGCCCCCAAATTCAAAAAACGCAAGTGCAAAGTATTTTGTCTTTATTGTTTAATGTATATACGTGAATTTTGATTTAGTTCAGTAACACACACAAAAAGAAGACTTGAAAGGATCTTTGTCCTTAAATATTACTTATTTTTTAAATCATCAGTTTAAATCTGGAACTTGTAGTGAAAACGGGGGTACAATTTTTTTTTCAGTTGTTCTTGAAATTTATAATTAAAGTCTTAAATGTGCTGTGTTTGAATCAACAAAGTAGTCAATTTGATTCTTTTTTTTCCAGGCTACTGTCAGACTTTGCTGAAGAAAGAAATAAAAACAACAAAGAAGGTACATAAATATTCTAGTGGAAGCAGTCTGTTATTGACTGATTTTGTAAATGAAATTACTTTGTAATCAAGCTTGAAAAAAATTATTGCTACTGATCGTTAAAATGTGAATGTTTAGCATTCATTAATACTTTTTCGTTATTTCTTTTCTTTAGAATCTGTATTTAAAGAAAAGAGTGGATCTTGCTTGCATTAAATTGACTTGGTTTACCTCTGTATTTTTATTGTACTTGATGGGGGAGTTACATACATATCTTGCTAGATAACCTGTTTTGCTTTTTCTTTTGCGTGTTTACCTCTTTTGTTTAGAATTCTGTCCTTTTATGTAGGTAAAGCTAAATGCTTACGCTGTAAAGAGGGAACACACTTTGATCATAAATAGCAGATACTTATTAGGGGCATCAAACCACATTTACGATAAAATCCAAACTTGTTTAGTCATGTTAAATAAAATGTCTTAGTGTGTAACACATTTCAGATGTAATCTATTTTCTTAGTCTAAATAATCCTGAGAGAGTGTGGAAAAGCTAGCAGCAATTAAGATAGGAAAGATAATGGTGTGAACATGGTTCTTTGAGGGCAAAAAGACTGAATCAAAGATTAGAAGTCTTCAGGAAAATGTTCCATTGGTTTATCCAGATCACACTTGAAGATAAAACCAAAGGTGTGTTACAGGGATTTATGTTTTGGACTTTCCACCCAGTTTGGGGTTCATTTTGACGTTTGGATTACTTTTTTAAAATTTAAGTCCATAACAAAATGAGTGTTAGCAATGTTAGCAAATATTAGCCAACGCCATTATTGCTTTTTCTAGAGAAATGGTCATCATTTGTGATTTAAAAAAAAAAAAGGCAAACGTAACTGATTTTCAAATAGATACACAAACATATTTTCTTTTTCTTTAGTTTGCCTTGAATAGTCAAAATACGCAATAATGACAACAAGTAGAAGCTGCACAATTCTGTACAAGCTGAGGCTCGAAGCCATTAATGTCTTAACGGAGTTTCTCCCTTATTAACCAGTCTCATTGCCTTTGGGAGTTACCAGCTCATTCTTTGCCTACTTTTTTTAATCGAGTATTTCAATGTTTGATTTTCACTTGAATAGTTCTTTTTCTAGCATTCTTTTCTTCAAGTGGCAGGGGAAGAGAATTCAGCTCTTCCATTTTTTTCAGGACAGACCGCAACTTGCACTGTAGGTGTTTGTAGGTAGCTAGTGCTTTTGTGCGTGGTTGTTCTTGACCTGCATGCATATACACATCTCGGTCACAGATTTTATTTGAACATAAACAATATTCAGTATGAGAGTTGTATATTTTGCAGTCGTCTGAACTGTATCAGCATAAGACTAGGAGCATTGGTCAGATAAAAGGTTAGTATAGCCTAACATGGTGCCTCCAATAGTGGGTTTGCTTGTGACATGTTGAAGGGAAGAGTAAAAAGACAAATGTAAAAACTTTCTTCCCTAGACTGGTCTTCCAAGACTCCATGATTAGAAGAGTTCATAAGAGAAGTTGTTACCACACCTTTGAGTCTTGAAAGAAAAATGGTGGTTTTTTCTTCCCTGCATTTGTCTACCACTTTTTAAATCCATCTATATTATTAGCATTTAAAGCATCCTATGCCAGGATAACTTGAATAAATCAAAATGTAGATAATAAAAAACACATATAAGCTTGCATAGTCACCTTCAAAACAGTCTGAACAGGTAGCTGGCAAAGCTAAGCATGATGCAAGCATCACATGCAGTGCAACTGGGGTGGTGGGGAAATGCAATGCCTGGTTAATTCACAATGCAGATAAATCACCCACGGGTAAGTAAGAGTTGATTATACTTTTAAAATCATACTCCATATCTATCCATGGCTTCATCTAGGATTCTTATACCTGCTGTACCCTGCTGATTCACTTCTGTCCTGTGCCTCTTTGGAGCATCGGTGATAAACATGATGCTAAAATGCCATTTCCCTTCATGGTTTTGCATGTGTTAGTAAATACTTGTTCCCATATCAATATATGAAGTTCCTGTACTCATAGTTAAGAGGGAGGCTGATTTGAAGTGCATACAGTTGTCAAATTGATCCTTTCTGCCCTATAACATTTCACAGGCAGTAGGAACAACTGTGGAGTTGATCGAACTGATTGAAATCTCATGTCTGATCTTCTTTAGAAGATTATTTATATTTAAACTTGATCTGTAAAGTTCCATTAATACATTAAGGTCAACTTTCAGAAAGATGAAGGCCACTTTACATTGTAGAAATCTAGTTCATTTGGCTCAACCTCTGAAAATGAGGAAGGTTTGAATTGTGCTAAATCTGTGTAAACTGTATAAAACTAAGGAGCTCCTCCACAGTTCTTAAGACATCCTCTTCTTTTACTGCATTTCTGATTTTCATTTTTTTGGTAAATAAATTGCTAAATCAAGTATGTCTTCTATGTGCCTTAAACATTAGTTTTGTTTTATAAACTGAAGAAGTGAGGTCTGATTGCATGTAGACAACCTTTTCAATATTACTTGTTTCTTTTGTTTCTTCTTATACTTTGAATTTTAATGTAGAATGTTTTCTTCAGATGGTCCGTATTTCGAGTTCAAAAAGTGGTACAAGGTTCTAAAAAAATCTTTGGATGTGGAACAAAAGAAAATGGATGAAGAAAAAGCCAAGTAAGAGTTTTAAATATATATATGTATATATACACATATATATATATATTTATGTTTTTGATAGTCTTACAAGAAAATGTGACTCCCCACAGAAGTTGAAAAGTTTAGGAATTTGCCACATAGTTTGTTACAGTAAGCTTGGGTGAATTAAACAGTTAAGTGCCTATCTTAGTCTTCTATTTACACTCATAATGTTTACCCAGCATAATAATTAAATACTCACTTTCTGTGACAAGTAGCTTGTACAATCAAACAATTAACTGATTACAATAAATCTATGATTACATGCCATAGTTTGTCTACTCTGGAAAAAGGCTTGCTATATACACAGTGTGTGGAAGGGACCTTACTGACACTAACCATTAGATTATTTTAATAGCTCTAAAACGATTTGTAAGAAATTACTATTCTTTTATAGACTTGCTCCCACTCTCCTTTTCCTTACAATTTCATTTTTTGTTATTGATAGGTGTCTGTGGAGGTGTGAAAAGCCACTGTTTTATTCAGCCAAGAAAAAATCTAAAGTTCTTAAGAGAAGGCGTGAGTAAACTTTGCCTCTTTGAATCAGTGCAAAAATCTGCTCCAACTTTTCCCATCAGAAAAAACCTGCAAGCCTTAACCATGATAACATTTACATCCTAAAATGCTTCCCCTTCTCTCTTTTATCTCTGTGCTCAATTAATGTACTATTTTACAACTCAAGGCTGGAATTCGTCAGTCAGACATTTCCCTAAAGTTTAACTCAAGTTGCCTTTGCCAAACTCCCTAAATGACCTACTTAACCCAATCTGAGAATGAGAATTCTGTCCTCATCCTCACCGATTTGTTAGTTGTCTTTAGATAACTGTGCTTGTCATGAAACTGTTGTTGCTCTGCCATGGCTTTTCTTGTGCCTTTCCCCTTTACTTCTTCATATTTAAGAATGTGCTTTGGTAGATCCTTTATATCCTTCCTTTTCCCACTCATTCTTGCAGTCTTCTATAGAAAGTGAGGAAGTTTTGTCTGAATGTGACTTTGCTTAAATAGCTAGCTATATATGGCCAGAATGAAGGTCCATCTGTCCTGTTCTAGAAGTTCTAGAAATATCTGTAGGAAAATGCGTTTTTTTTTTTAATCAGTTAAACACATGGACTGTGAAAATAAGGGAAAACAGTTTTATTCAGCCAAATTTAAAACTTTCATTCTGTTTATCTAGTAAGTGAAAGATAATGGGAAAGAGATGATAAGAAGTATGGCAAGTTACATTTTTCCCTTGATGTACTCGACCAGTTTCTGGCAGTGACTCTAAACAAGCTATAACATCATATTTGGTTTGAATGACTCTTGATGGATTTCTCTTGCAAGAGAGTAATTATTTTTTTACTCTTCTCAGCATGATGCAGGAGAGATCCTGCAGTTGTTCTGTAGATTTTTTTTTTCCAAACTGATCATTTACTTGAATGCCCTCTAGTCTTGTGTTTATTGGATAAAGTGAATAATCATTCATTGTTTGTAATTTCTCCTCTACTCTAGAGTCCCCTTTTGGTTCTGCTTCTTCTCAGAGAGAAGCAGAAGAGGCCCTATAAAATGCTCCCACTAAGAAGAAAAATGTGGCGTGTTTTTTGTTACTAGACAACATAAAGTGTACTTCTAAGGCTTTCACAAGCCATGAGGAAAGATAGTGTTTTTTTCTCTTTTCTTGCATTTTCTCTTCTTTTATTTTCCAGTGGGAACGTGCACAGTGAAACGTTTAACTTTATATCTGCATGTGTAGAAAAAGAGATGACCTTAATTCTGATTCACAGGAAACTAGTCAGTAAATCTTGTCAACTCTAAGTAATAGCAGTTTAATATAGTGAAAGGCATCCTGGCCTGCGTGTGCTATCAGAATAAAAAATATCAGCAGTCTCATCGGTTTTACTGCCTTTACTGGGCAAGATTTGGGAGTACCCCAAATACCTACTATCATATGTAATATCATATGGTATGAAAGACATGGTATTTTGATTGGTCTTTCAAAATCTTTCTCTGAAATATACAACAGAGTTGAATATTAAATAGAAAGGAAAAAAACATACAGGCTTTTAGGCTTTCTCAGTGTATCATGCACAGGGGGAAAAGAAAAAAGCACTGATAGCCTTTTTTTCCCCTCTGTAAATCACCTCTAAACAATATTCTAATACTTTGGGGGTTTTGTTTGTTTATTTGTTTTCTATGTGTACAGAAATCGTTGTGAACTTACAACATCAGTTTGGCAAGCTGTCTGGTTCATGGCAACCTGCTGAAAAGCCAAATCCTTCAAGTTTTCAGTTAAACTGGTCTGAAGACAACACAGATGGGAGTTGTTTTCATGGGCATAGCCTGAAAGGAATTTTGCAAGAAAAATGTGGCTTGCTTACAGTCATGAACCCTGACTATTGGCTCTGTACAGTTAAACTGTGTGCTGAGAAGTAAGTATTCAGATTGCTAAGTGTATGTATGTGTCTGCATCTGTGTGTGTGTGTTTGCGTGTGTACGTATATATATGTGTGTGTGTGTATATACAGGTTGGAAAGTCCTTTTTTTATTAAAGAGAAATAAGGAGGTGTGTGCACAGTTACGCATTCACATATAGTTAAAAAGGGGCTTATGCGCCATGGTTGGTCTTGGACTGGGTGTAGACAAATTATATGAAGAGTGATCAAAGTGAGCTTTGGAGAGGAAAGATGAGACAAAATCAGCAGCTGAAGTCACATGGCAAGAGAAGCAGCTAGGTAGGAATAGTCACTTCTGTCTTTGTAGCATGTTAGACAATGCTGTTGTAGCACATTTTTCCAAAAAATGGAAAAGCTATTCCCCACACAAACCTCCCAGGCTCTCCAAAGAAAAAGAAATAGGAATTCATTTTCTAAATGGATATGCTTCTTTTTGTGCTGACCTTAATCAAAATTAATGTTTAAAATATCAATTGCACTCTAATTAAGCAGCAATTTATGCTTCCAAAATATATTTCAAAATAAAATGATTGGGCATGAGAAGGAGACTATCTCTATTTCATCTAAACATATCAGCTATCAACAGTTCAATCTTCTGCAAGTAGACTGGATTAATTAAAGAAGAAATTGGGGAAAACGAAACATTTTATGCTATGAAGAACATGGTGTCTGTCTCTGCAGAGGACTGTTCTCAAATCTTGACTTCACAAGCAAAGTAGAATTTGATCTTTTAATTTTCAACTAAGTGCATCTCAAAACAGTCGTGCTTTTTTTTGTATAATTATTTTCTTTAAATAACTAGTGGAATTAAACAGAAAGGGGAATGATAGCCCAGCTAACCCAGCCTTGTGCAGATTCATGTGTTCATGCGAGTTGCTCGTCTGCCTGCTTTGTGCCAGGCTGGTTGCTCCTCCTTTCGTACATTCAGCTCCCCTGCCAAATTCTGCAGAAAACAGTGGCTACTGCCCCCGTGGCCAGGACAGTGCAGAGAGAGGGAGCAGGAGCCCTGCCGAGGGGAGGGAGGGCTGCGTGAGGCAGTGACAGCCCCAGCTGGGAATGGGAAGGGTCTAAAACCTTGTTTCTCACTAAGTCTCCTGGTGGTGCAGATGAGGTGTCTGGGTTGTTGGCCAGTTTTTGGTTCCGTCACTGTTTGTACAGTGAAATCCTAATCCAGAAGATAAATGTGCTGGTGAACCTCACTGACAAGGACGGGCTTTGCGGAGGGGCTGAATTCTCCTCAGTTCTGATGTGTGCACTTGGGTTACGTTTCGAGGAAGGAGGTCAGGCTGTGCTACAGAAACCTGATTTCACATCAGTGTGTTAACATCTTAAATCATTATCTGATATATAATTCTGCATGCCATGCTTAAGAGAGCAATAGCTCCTACAAAAATTTAGCAATACATTTCTGAAAATATTCTGTGTATGGCCTTTGAAAATAACTGTGTTTTATATCCGTGCAGTTTTATGGGTTTTTTCTTCTGTCTTTTTTACTGGATTTATTTGCTTATCTTTATTTTCCTTTTCACATTACCTTTCACATATCCACCGTGACAGAAATGGGTTGGAATAATGTAAACACAGTGTTATATTACAAGAGCTTTGGTTGTATGGATTCATTCTTTGGTATGAACAAGAAGCTTTTCTAAGGGGAGGAGGGGTAATAATCCTTTGACCACAAATTTGCGTAGATCTTATATACACACTGAATGAGTAGATAATTCAGTGTGTTTGTGTGAATAATCTTTTCATGCAAAATCTGTTTTTTAGCCTGCATTTTCATATTTAATGTATTAAAATGTTAATGGCAAACTGTCATAGCCTGCATGAAACAAGATTTGGATTTAAAACCTTACCAGTTAAATTTCCCATTATATCATTTGCAATGCAAGTAGTTAATTATACATCTGACACTTACTTAACTTTGGAAAATAACATCTACTCCCTCAGATAGGAGGTTTTGGCCTTTGTGAGTGTATGTGTGTATAATGGAACTGAAAACAAACTTAGAAATTCTCTAGAAATCAGTGTGGTCTACCTGGGATAGAGAAATATTTTAATCCTGTGACTGGTGTATGATTTGATTCTGGGTAAAGCTGAGGTTCATAAAGTTGTTGGTCATGTGTTTTTATATTTTATTTTCTTGTAAAGCTTAAAATTTAAAACAATTCTGAATCCATTGGGTGTCTAGCTCTTTATTTTAAGTTAATATATGATAATGTATTATAACATATTATAATGTATGAGAAGTTTTGAGAAAATTTGTTTTTTTCTCCCCTTATTACATCTGAATTTACAATCATCTGGCAATTTTTACTAGCCTTTTTTTTTAAAGTCTGTTAAAGTAAACAGTTCAAAAAAAAAGAAAACTACAAAATGGGGGAAAAAAAGTGTGTGTGTGTGTGTGTGTGTGTAGGTGCCCCTGTGGAAGGGGTGGCTGTAACCTGCTAGGTGCTTTGCAGGATCGATCTGATGCCTTTGCCTCTGGGTATAAGGTGTCATCTCTTCCCAGCCCTCCATGCTGTCAGCTGGAATGCGGCACCTGAGCTCCTGTAATTGCAGAGCCTCAAGTTTAAGGCTAGTACATGACCATGTGGTGTGTTCTTCGCTTGTTTTTAATTATATTGGCCAGAAAATGCACATTTGGTTCAGCCAAAATCTTCTAGAAATTACGCTTGCATTTGGCACTGCTTTGAGGTGAAGGGGAGAGAGGCTTTGGTGTCAGCCACATCTTTTTCACAGAATCCCAGGATGGTTGAGGTCGGAAGGGGCCTCTAGAGATCATCTAGTCCAACCCCCTGCTCAAGCAGGGACACCTAGAGCAGAGGATGGACCTGGGATGAGAGAGACTTGGTTTCAGATTCCCTCTCTGCCTGTCTGAGGGAAGGGATTTAGACAAGGACTTTGCTCCCCAAAATGTGGCTGGCAGGAGGCTCTGGAGTGGGTCTGTCTGTTGCTCTGGTTTAAGGTAAAATGTAAATGTTTATTGGGCCAAAGGGAGTGAGCAAATGACTCCGTAGTCTGGTAATTAGCACGTTGCCCGTAAACGGGAACAGGCGGGTTCCAGGCCTTGTTCTCGTGGATATTTGAGGCTGTCGTTCTCAATCAGACAGAGGGGAAGTTTAAGTTCTCCACATCCCAGGGCAATGCCCCAATAAACTGACTTATAGGGTGATAATCACCCAAGTCCCTATATGAATGCAAAAGTGTGTATGTTTATTTATGGGAAATAGCTGGATCTTAGATTATTTTCAGCTCACCACATTTAACCAAGGCAAATGCTAGACCATTTTTTTTCCAGTTTACAACACTAAACCAAGAAATAATACTGCCCTGTTACTGATCATTTGCAGAGTCTACCCATTCTGAGGCATCTTCTCTTCCATTTGAGTTTGATGCTTGGTACCAGTAAGACCAGTGTGCTATTTCAGCTCCATATTTCATCAGTAAAATTACCTGAAACCTTCTGAAAACCTTTGCCACGACAGCGGTAGCCTTCCTCGCTCTGTCAGCCTGACACGGCCTCCCCTGTTGCTCCACTGGCCTAAATCAAGCTTTTCTTCTCTGTTTTTGGATTTATATTTAGCATAGAAAGGCAGTTGGCAAGAAATGGGCTGGTCACAGTTACATGGCCGAGTGGTAGCGGGGAGAGAGCGGAGCCTGGGAGAGTGTGTGCAGTGGAGAGCCGGGGAAGGAGCCCGCTGCGTCTGCGTTGTGTGGTCTCAGTCATTTCAAAAATAGCCTAAGGAGCCATTTTTACACTTTGCTACATGTGTTAAAATGCTAGAAATCAGAGTTTCAGGTTGGTTCTGGAAGTGAAGGGCATGTCCTCTGTCTGGCTCAGTGTGATCCTGCTTCGCCGTGCAAGACGCTGTGCACATGCCTCTCCCTATCTGCACCATCTCTGGGTGTTTCTTGGCCTTTAAAGTTTTGTGGGAGTGGATCCTTTTGCAGAATTGACATTACAGGCCAGAATTGCGATTTGTGGAATAGATAAAATGTGAGGGTTTTTCTGTAATTGCACTTGAGTATGTATGTGCTAACTAACTAAATACCTTCTAATTTAGAGCTTTTCCTTTCGTTTCAGGTTCTGTGGTCATCTGGCTCATTACAGAGATTTGGACTTTCCCGCGAGTTATCATTTTGTACTAAGGTTATTCTCCTTTCTTCTGAGGATACAGCCCTCTTACATCCATGAAGAAGTGTGTGCGATAGAACACAAGCTTTTTAATAAAAAGCTCTATAAAAAGCCAAAATACAAACCAGGCCAAAGAAAATAGGCCTAAAAAAATAGTAGTATTCAGACCATGTAAATACAGGACTCGGTTCCATCCCAAACCATGTCATCACATCCGAACTTACACTGATCCTTCTGCCTGCATAGAAATCAGATAATGCAGCAGTGCTGAGACCTACTACTGCACTTTAGTTGTGCTATCATTTACCTGTAATTTAAAGTCACCAGTTTCCAAATGGGAGAGTTGCTAAGGAAACCATTTACCAAAATTTATTTTCTCATTTTGCATCAGAGTCAACAGGAAGCCATGAAATTAGCATTTTGACTAATTGTACATACTTTGCGTGCATACTGGACAGCACGTTAGCATCTAATTACATTGTAGGATTTTGCAATTAAAACGCTATTTTGTTACCTACTGGTGTGTGACAGCAAATACATTTCTAGAAAGTTATATTTACTTTTCATTGAAATACTGTGCTACCAAATAAGAGGAACGGGTGGTTGATGTTTTCGCTGCGGTGATTTGTTAAGTCCTTGTTTCTCCACAGTCTGTTCTGGAGAGGCCCTGGCACCGCTTCACGCGTTTCCTTGCCTTCCGAGCGGGCTGCGCTCGGGGCCGTGTGGTTCTGCCCTAGCCTCAACACCTGCAGCTCCCCATCCTGCTGCTGGTGCCATGGTAGCTGCCAGGTTCTCCTGTCATTTTTCTTTCACAAGATTTCTCCTGATAACTTTATAATTTAGCATCTCCAGCACCCGGAGCCTCAGCCATTCTACCAGTTTCTCATGCTCAGTCTTATTTATGCACTGTGTTTTTTTTTTAAACTATCCCACTCAACGTGTTATAAAGCTTGGTGCTACCACTGCATTAAAGACACCATAATGTATACTATGTTGAACAGAGATGTCGAGTAGAAACCCAGATGAGTACTACTACTTTCAGTTGAAGGAAATAAAACCCAGTAATTCCATCCTTTGCTAAGCGTAAAAAAAGTTATTAAATGTATTTGATGGGCAAGAAAATCAGCAGCTGCTTTTCAACGTTATTGCAGACAAGCAAAATGGTGTGTGCAGACTTCAGAAAGAATTATCTTGCTTCTTGAGCAAGGAAGCTGGATTTCAGTGGAGTGGCAGACCCTGGGTATGATGGAAGGGGTTTAAATCTATTCTAACTATGAAGGTGTTGTTCAAAAACTGGTAACAGGTGAATGGTAAGAGAGGAGATTGTGTTGTCTACCTGTCTGGAGCAAGTGAAAAGCAGTATTCCAAGCATGGCCAGAGCAGACTGTTAGGTGTGGAAGCGAGGGAGGGTAGGCTCTTAAAGGTAAGTTGTAATAGTGGGAAATACTGGCAAACCAGGAGGCTCTGCTGGCTCAGAAGTAGGGGCAGGAAATAACTAGAAGTGGTGTCCTGATTTATGGCCACAGGAAAGATACGGTTGGGGTTTTCAATTTTATAGATGTTTTAAGTAGCTCCTAATACTGCCTTTGAACAGGGATTTAGTGCATTGGTCCTGTAAAGTGCTTGTAACTTGCCTATGATGCAAATAAGAAAGCACAGTTTTTAACAGCTATGTATAAAACCGTGGTGTTTGTGGCAGAAGAGCAGGCCGAGTTCCTAGCTGTTTGGTGTGATAGGTATTTCATGAGTGCTGCAGTTCAGAATGTCTAGATCTGCTGCTGCCTTGTACTAGATACCTCAGTGCTTCTGAAAAGACGTCTCGAATGGTAGTTACACACGTGGAATCAAAATATACCAATTTGAAACCAGCTCTTTTTATTTTAAAATGACCTATTGCCTACTAATGTTTGACTTTGACCTCACTTGAATGAGGGTCTAGAGTTTTTTTGTCTTCAGAAAAAAAATATTTTGTTCTCATTCTAGATGGACATTTGTATCAGTAGTTAAAATTCTATAAAAATACAATATGCCTTGTCACTTGGTTTTCTCAAACCACTAAAAGTATCTGACTGTTTTTACCATGTATGTGAAAGGTATGAGTGACCTATCAAAAGGCAGTTTACATAAAGGATTAATTTAATTCAGAAGTCTTTATTTGAAAGACTTAATTACAAGTACATCTTTCTTTAAAGGAAAATAGCAGTAAAATGGGAGTTTCAGAAATGAAAAATACTCCTCAGTGTTGCATTGTTACAAATGTAACAAAGCTCCCTTAGATGTTAGAGAAATTGAAGTTGTGCTTTAATAAGCTGGAAGAGAGCTTGCAGTTAATCATCTAGAGCCAAGTGCCACCTGGACACCTCGGCTAAGAGCCGGGTTTGGACGTTGAGGCTTTGCCACTGACCTCCCTAATGTCACCTCCTTCCAGTCCAGTCAGTCCATGCTTGTTCCGGAGTGACGATGTTCAGGAAAGCAGTGAACCACAGGGGTGCCTGATCTCCAGCAAAGGGCAGTCGAGCCCTGGGACAACCACTTGGAGTCCAATAAATGTCACCCTGAGGTGCAGCCACGCTGGTCACGGCTGCCTTGTGTGAAGCTCCATCTGCTTCTAAGTTACAGCTGAATCCTGTAACTATTCACGGAAAATGAATGAGGAACTTTTTAATACTGCCTTTTATTATTTTTTTTTTTTTACTTCTTCCTCTGGAGGTTTTAAGTGGAGACTTGTTTGGTTTCATACTCTAAAATTTTAGGACTTTATATATTGAGAAGATTTGGAACAGTTGAATGACTTTAACTTGAACAATAACCCTGAATAGCAGTTGCTGAGACCATGACATACCTTCTAAAGTAAATTAATATTTTCCTGTACTTCATGTATTATATTTTAATACATTTTTTTCTATCACTATGAATACCAATGTAACCTCATTTTAAGAATTGTTCTAAATACTGCAACCTTTCTCTCTACTGATTTGGTGTAAAAATACACAGGTCTTCTCACTGGAAGGTCACAACTTTCAGCAGAATTGGGATTTTACTATTTTTTCACTACCTCAGTATGCTTACATTCTCTATATCAACTTAAACTCAGCCTTTTCTTATATGGAAGAACTTTAAATGCATTATTAAAAGTTTTTACCGTTTTCCAGGCAGGTACGGGAGGTGTTTGACTTCCTCCTTGACCTCTTGGGCAGACTGAGGTCCTCAAAGCCGTCTGAATGACAGTGCTGAGGAGCGGGGAAGCCCTGTGCCACCATGCAGAGCTAGTCCAGTTTAGTGCCCCTATTTTGTGGTTTTCACTGTAATTGCAACCTAATGCCAGAATTACCTAGCACATCCCCTGAAACAGGTATTTTGGAAGACTTGAGAAAGTTTCATGTAATGTTGTAGGCTGTGCAAGAGAGCAATTTGCTCACAACTTCATGGAAAGCTCATAAAAATCCTGTCTTTTGAATGATCGTCAACTTCTTGGCTTTCATGGACAGAAGAAGAATTTGCTGATGCTCCCAATGTTTCTTTTGGGGTGTTTATGGGGAGTTGTAAGGAAGGAGATGCTGCAGCAAGGAGAGCAAAAGTACCTGAGTACTTTTAAGTACCTGCGCGGTGATTGTGGAGAGGATGGGGCCAGGCTCTTCTCCATGGTGGCTGGTGACAGGACAAAGGGTAATGGGTGTTAAGTTGAAACACAGGAACCCGCCTGGATGCCACCCTGTGCCACGTGCTCTGGGTGTCCCTGCTGGAGCAGGGGGGTTGGACTAGATGATCCCTAGAGGTCCCTTCCAACCTCAACCATTCTGTGATTCTGTGAAAAGGGCAGGGACTGCAGGCGGTGCGACCGGCCACGAGAGCCAGCGAGGGCTGGCAGAGCCCCAGGCAACGGTCGGTCCCGTGTCCCACGTGAAGTTGTAGCTGCCCTTTGCATCTGCGAATGGCAGCAGTTCGAAGGAGCCCACACACTCCTCTTCATCCATCTTCATCATCTAAAATCTCCCTTCTCAGGTAGTTTTAAACGAAAATGTGTGCACCAAACTACCTTCTTTCTGCAGGTGTTTCTGGTGATTGGATCTGGCTGCTCTGGGTGGCAGCAGTGTCTGTGTCTGTCTCAAGGCTTCCTGTTGTCCTTGGGACTCTGCTCTTGGGCTGCAGGCCCAAGTTCATGGATGTGTTCAGCACCTACACGGTGATCTCGCACGCTCAGCCTGAGCCCCAGGGTGCTGCCTTTTCCCAGATGATTCCAGCAGTGTCCGTCCAAGTAAACGTGTCCTGGTTTTTGTTTACTGTTTACCAAGATCCGCAGTGTTGGTAGCTTTACCTGGGCAGCTGGGTGGTTTCGGTGCTGCAGGGCAGAGTGGGTCAGGCACAAAACCTAAGCTCCGAGCAGTGCGTGGCCAGCCGTGTTTCCTGAGCTCCTCCGCAGCTCCCCGGAGAGCGGGGAAACCTCTGCGTGTCGGCCGGGGTGGCAGGGCCTGTGTGCAGGAAAATCAAATCCAAAGGAAGTGCTTTATTGAGCAGAGATGAAAAGTACTCGCAGAGCCTAGTCAGCATGCCAGAGATGGTGGTGCAGATAAATCCCCAGCTTCGAGTTGATTTTTTTTCAATTTGATGTTGTAAGCATTTAAAACGACCTCAGTCAGGCTCATGAAGCTCTATCTCTTGTCCTACTCAATAGTCTGTAATGTCTCAACAATTTTTACTTTATGAACAGGAGTAAATATAGAATCAAAAGGGGAAATCAGATACTTAAGGAATGCCTGCAAGATCAGCTATCGGGATAATGCTGATATGATAAGCAAACTGCTTGTCCTTCATTTTCCTGTTCCATTTTTCACATGTTGTACTTCCATTTAGTTTTTAATTCTCTCTTCTTTTTCTCCATCTTTTTCCATCTTCCCTTTCCTATAAAGCATTTCACATTTCCTTTTTGATTGTCGTCCTTCTGTTTCTTTCCGCCATTCCTTACCTCATTTCCTAGCCTAAGATTTCTCCCCTCCACCTGCCCTTTGAGGCATTCAGCTATTTTTTCTTTTTCTTGCTTTTTTTTGCTTTGCTGGTGTGCTGTGCACTGAAGAAAAGTGCAGAATATTCAGTACTCCTGAGAACCAGCCCTGCTACTTGGCCCTAAAGTTTTAGGGGTCCAGATTGAATAGAGAGCACCTTGCCTGCTGCCAAGTATCAAAAACACAGAACTGCTGCTCGTGGATTTGACTAGTGTGACGGCTCATGATGATAATAATCATCCAAGAGACTGTCAAACCTTATTTGTTAAGGAAAACATTATAGTAGATAATCCTTGTGCAGAATAACTCAAGTTTCCACACACAGAGATGTCAAAGGAGAGGAGAGAAACAGACCCAGCGCATTGATAGGGGGCTCGAGGCAGGAGGTGACAAGGGGAGTTCTCCATGGCTCCTGGCTTGTGCAGAACGGGAGAGGGATGGGTGTGAGAGCCCTGAGATGGAGGCGGGAGGGCTGCGAGAAGGAACAGGTAGGAGCCAAGTCGGCGCCGGGCAGGGAAGCCTGGCAGAGCGCTGTCCCGTGGGGCTGCGCGGCTCCGAGCCCCGGCCGCGGCTTCCTTGGCTCCCTCCGTGCTTCCTGCCTGCTCCGACTCCGCGGTGATGCAACCCGGCTCGTGACATCACCCAAACGCTCCTGGTGCTGCCGGCGAGGCCGGGTTGTGAGCGGCACGTTAGTCAGCGGTGTCACAACCCGGTGTTTGTATCATTGTCTCCCGCGCGTGGAAGCGATTGCCGTGTCGATAAACGAGTTTTCATCAGTGAATGAGACTGTTAAGAAAAGCAGAGGAAACAGTTTTGATTATTTGGGGAAAAATCTCGGTCAATTCTAGCCAAAGTGCAAAGCGTTCTGTTGTAAACTCAGATTTCAGCAACTCGGCTGCCTTGTGAACACCTTCAGCACAGGCTGCATCTGGGTCGCTCAGAGCTACAGGGTAGCGCTATATCTTATTGTTAATGAAAAGTCTGCCTGTGTGCCAAAGAGCGTGGACGGTGTGCGCGCATCCCGGCATTCCAAGAACGGAATCGATGAGGGTTAACAATAAATAGCTTTGGAGAAAGCTAGCAATCCTTTCCCCTGGTTTTCATTTTGAGTCGCTTTCGAAATTTTTATGGGAAACCAAACAGCTCGTACTCTTTAGGAAAAATTGCAAAAGCAGATTTTTTTTCCCGTGTAATCTAAATGTGTGAAACAGATTTATTGCATGTCTTAAAGAACAACTTAAACCCATGCACTTTCTAAAGCAAGATCCAATTTAAGATTGATTTTTATCTTTTGCCATCCTCATGGCAATGTTTGCCGATGCAAACAGAGCATTTTATTTCTAGGATGCCAGTCGTAATCCAGCCAGAAGATGTGAAGCAACTTCTAGGATTAGACCTTTAGCAAAATCTGGCTCCCTTTAGTCTCAGGTTTCCTTTGGTTGGCTGTTTGAATTGTCTTTCTATAGTTTTGCACTGGAGTATGTCTTAAACAAACAGGGAAGGAGTTTTGTCTTGGAAGGGAGAATTAGCAAACACCTTTTTACACTGTAGCAGCTATCTGAAGCATCTTCAGTGTATGACAGACACTGTTGCTAGACGGGGCTTGATTTAACTTGTTACTTAAGCAAGCCTCCTCCCACCCTTATTTCTCAAGGAGAAATGTCAGATATCCCTGATCCAAATCCGGAGGCACTAATATGGGAATATCGGGGCTCGGGATGGCGCCGGGGGCACGGCCGGCGCGGCGCTAGGGCTGCTGAAAACCTCGCGCTCCACCTCCGCGCTGCGCCCCGCGGATCCAGCGGTACTGGAATCGTTGTGGGAATGACTGATTCGTTATCCTCTTCAGAACTCATCAGAGCAGGAGTTAGTGTGGAAAAGCCAAGGGGGGGAAGAGGCCGTTTCTGGGAAGCGCGGAGCCCCTGCCCCGCGGGCTCCTTCGGCCGGGGATGCGGCCCCTGAGGCGGCCGGAGCGGAGCGGAGCGGCCGG